ATAATTTATGGCCCATTTTATTCTTATTATTGTAGAATGAGAATAACAATATAGTCGTCATGGGGCTCCACATAAAAGATAAAAATTCAAAATTGATGATTTGATGTGATGAATAAAAATCATATTTTTCATTTTTATGGATGAAAAAGAAAAACAAACGGAGGTTTGAGTATTAAATTTGGCTATTTTTTAAAAAACTATCAAAATGGAATTAGCTATTTTTGTAAATTCCTCTATTTTAATCTGGACGGTCCAAACGGGGGGGCTAAATTTACTCAACTGTTGCGGCAATGAGCTATGGGTCAATGCAATGCAGGGGATGCAGTCAGCCAGTGTATTAAAAAATGATATTTCAATTACCTAGGAGATTCAAGATTACCTCAAATTTTGCACAGGGAAAAAAATAATAATAAATAAACAGCAGCCTGCAGCATATTTGTCTCACGAGATGGCCAATGGTCCAATATAGATTTCCCCTATGTTTACTACGTCAACCATTTTGTTGTTTTCTATTGGAATTTGGAACTCGGGGAAAGAAAACAATGGATGTAGACAATCTACCCAATCACAGATATTAATGAAATACATTCATGAATTGAATTTGAGTTTCTAAACACCATCTATTGTTTGTGGGCAAATTAAGCACTATATCTTGATTGTGTGATATGGAATTTTGTAGAAATTGATCCCCTTTTTCTTTTTTTTTTCCCCCTCGTATTTAGTATGATCTAAAATTTGGAAGAACTTGAATATCAAGGAAATGTTTGGAGAATGCATTTAGTTTGAGTGAATAAGTTGATGTTTTACTTATAGACAAGCACTAGAGGGTCATACCCTTGTTCACATGAACTCCATCGACCATTAAATTGTGAAATGTATAGATTTCCGAGGTGTATCATACCACTCGGTGTGTTTGGTAGCTTTGTGTTAGCCCCTTGAAGGTTGACATGCGCGATGGCATGACACGCATTGCACTCATGCTGGGATTTTGCGGATAAGTGTGTTGATGGTGCACACTTCGAATTTTCGAAGCAAGGAAAATGTGGATTGCAATTTGGCTGGTGTCAAAGTGTTGCAGACTGACAAGGTATGTGATGATCTAGCTTGCTGTTAGTGGGCTTTAGTCCACTAATTCGAATGTCCAAATGGGGGCACATGTTTGACACATGTGCTGTGCAGTTTTCGTCGTCCATACAAGTGGAAAGTATGAGTGGTTGGGAATGACGGTGGGAATCAGTTTCTGGCGGTTCTAAGCCAACTGGGTTGGTTTATCCCTTTTGCAGTTAAGGATGTTAACTGCATATGAATTTTGGTCTATAAATAGGGAGGGCTATGGACTGTTGAGGCACGAAGTGTGTTGTGTTCCTTTAGTGTTTTCTTGTATTATTGAAATGAAATATATAATTTGATCAACTTAAATTTGAACAACTATAAATAGGGAGGCTATGGTCTACGAAATATGTTAATAATAATTGCGAGTTAAGTTACAAGTCCTATAAAATGTGTGAATAAAAAAAATATTTGATCAACTTAAATTATAATTTAATTTTCGCAAACATGTGACAATTCTGCCTACAATGAATGTCCTTCTCTTTTTGTTGTGAGCACGTAAGTACATCCATTACACATGCTTAACAAGTATTTATAAATACTCGTTAAAAGTCAAATTATTTTTTATTCACATAATTAATGAATTTACAAGTATTATCAATTTATTAATTATTTATTGTTATTTGTTTATATAAATACGTGCCAAACATATGCTAAGTCTCTATTTGGCAAACGTTATAAACCCCCTTATAAACAATCAAACTTAATTTTCAACAACACAATTCAATTTATAAGTATTATACATTTATTCGTCACTTATTTATGTATGTTTATAAATTCTATTCAAGAGAGACTAAGGCCTTTTTTGACAATCAAACTTTTAAAATTTTTTTTCTACATATTTATTTTTGACCATATATTCACACAAAAAATTATTTTGCACGTAAATTCAAAAATTTTCCTTACTTTTTTATTATGCATTCTCCTAAAAATCACTATTCAAAATTCTATTTTTTTTTTTTCAAAAGTATGGCTATCAAACACAGGCTAAAGTGTATCATAATTAGTCCCATGTTTGACATTCTTTTTCATGAGTTTTTTTTTTTTCTAAATGAGTTTTTTATAGAATGTATAGTTAGAAAGTACGAAAAATTTTAGATTTATATGTAAAATATTTTAAGGAAATTTACAAAAATGTCTAATTTCATACTTGTGAATTAAAAAATGTCTAATTTTGATAACTTTTGTAAAAATTGCCAAATTTATTACTAAATTGTCTTTTATATCCTTAATGAAAATGAAGTGTTTTTTTCAATTTATCACGAATTTCGAAAAGAAGTAGTTTCAATTATAAGCTACATTAAAATGACATTTTAAAAGTTGTTATCGATATTTGAACTATATTTATCCTGATACTTTATTTGTCTACAACGAGATTTTATTTCAAACACAAGAATTCTCTACATTTCCTAAAATTCTTGACATTTGAAATGTAGTCTCGATATTTAATAGATGTGTCAATGAGAAATATAGTATTTATTGTGATTTGATGTGTGTTTTTGAAATAAGTAAGGTAGATTATGTGTCAAAATTTTATTGGTCAACAAAATTTTTAATTGTATGCACATTTTTGTCTTTAGTGTCGAATTATAAATTGTTAACAAGTGTATTTTGGTAAAAAATATTGTAAAATGAAAATTGAATAAATTTTGGACATTTTTATAAATCATCACGTGAAAGTGGACATTTTTTGTAATTTTCACACTATTTTATTATATAGATTTGTGGGTAAAAGGGTATTTGAGAAAAAAAAATAAAAAACAATAAAAAAAAAAAGGGGGGAAGAAGTTGTTTTAACATGTGGGCTTAATCAAACTTTTCTTATCCAACATTTCTATGTACCTATGCATTAGGCCTATAGATAAAAATCTAAACTGGCTCGGCTATTATATAACGACTCTGTAGCTCAAGCCAGCCGATGATGCATACCATAAACAATTTGGAGCAAATTGGGAATGAAGAATTTTAGGAGTTAACTTTAGAAATGAGACGCAGCGGCTTGGAGGAGTTGGCTCTACATATAAGCGTACAAAAAGAAGAGGTGGCTCTAGAAAGTTGTAGGGGTAGGGGTAGGGGTAGGGGTGAAGGTAGGGATAGTGAGTCATCAAAGTCTCCCTAAATTCCAGAGCTGCCTATTGATAGGGATTGATTGGACATATTTCATTTGTTTTCTTCCTCCCCCGTCCCCAGCTTCCTTGCCATCGCCATATTCTTTTGTCACCTCCATTTACTCTTTTACCCTCAACTTTTGACCAATTTTACTTTTACCGTCCTTCGGCACGTGTTTATTGTAGATTCTTTTATAATATATTTTATAAAAATTATTTTTTTAAAAGAACGTATAATTAGGGGTGTCCAAAAGTCTCGAATCGAACCGGACCGAACCGAACCCCAACCGAATCGAGCGATTTTTCATAAATTAAATACCCGAACGGGTACCCGAATCGAGAACTGATGGGTTTGGGTCGGGGTCTCGGGTCTAGACCAAGAACCGAAGAATCGAATAAGAGTCGAAACTAAATAATTTTTTTATTTTTTATATTGAATTAATTAAATTATTTTATTTTTTAAAACAAATTTGCAAATTAATTAAATAAATCAGATTTTTTCCTAATTTTAATTTTAAAGCCCAAATCATTTTTAAAATCCATTAGCTCATTTTAATTTGAAACAAATGAATATACTTTATGTAGTGTTGCTGTAATATTAATATCTACTTTTTGATATTTGTATGCATTGAATTGATCTTATTGGACGGTTAGTTATTTAGATTTTTTGAATTGGGCAACGTTAATTTGTAAAAATTACGAATGAAATGTCATTAGTTGTATTTATGTAGTGTTGCTGTAAATATTAAAAAATTTAATTATGGTACGGAACCGAACCGAACCCGAACGGTTCCATGATTATATTTGGACCCGACGGGTCCATTTATTAAATACTCGAAAGTTTTGGGTCGGTTCGGGTCTCTTCAGAATCGAACCGAACCGACCCACGAACAGCCCTACGTATAATTAAAAAATAAAGAAAATTATAAGTTCACATACAAAATGGAAAAAAAAATTAATTGAAATGAATTTTTGAAAAAATAAATTTTGAAAAATCTCCATCAAATCCCTACGAAAATAGAAGTAGGGTTGTATAAATTGAACAGTACTATGCGTGTATTTGATGCACGTTAAAATGGAATGATTAATCCATTTGTACATAATGGATTACCCATTTCACATAATACGCGGGGTCTGCGTGTATTTAAAAATTTCGACAATATAGTCCTCATTCCCGTTGTAAATAATAAATAAAAGATTCAGTAAAAAATTCGGTAATATAGCACGATCCAAAATGGAAAGCATACATTTTTTTGTGATGTGATGTGATGGTGAATATGTGGTTAAAAAAAGAAAAATTATTGATATAATGAAAAATATTATTTTATTGAAAAATATGTAATTAAAAATGAGTAAAAAATTAAAAATGAAAATAAGGACTTGACCCAAAACTTTAAAATCGAACGTTGAAGCATGTACTATAAGAATATAAGAGTAAAGGGTATATTAGTAACTTGACAGTCCAACCAGAAACAATCGCTTGCTCACAGCCTGTTATAATCCCCTTCAAGCTCCCCTCCCAATGGAAGAATCCTTTCACTTCTCTCTCTAAAGTGCTCTGTACTCCCTTTCTCCCTCTAGTTTATATTCATCTGTTTCTCTCTCCTTCTGTTGAGTGATGTGTGTGAACCCTCGTAGCTCCCACATCAACATTATGCTCATAATCACTTTTTTTCGTCATAAGCCATAGATTTTTACTTTTTCTCAAATCATTTTCTTTTGCCAAAAAATATGTTGCTATAACTTCCCACAAAAAAATCATCTTTTTAGAAAGTTGAAGGTATGGAGGATCCCAGGGTTTGTGATGGTTCTAACATGAATAATGCTCTGTTCAAAAGTGAAAGGCTCCTTTGCTCTTCTGAAGTTCTTGATTCTCTCTGGATTACTAATTCTTCTCCTTCCTTTCATGGTAATAATTTTTTTTTTTTTTTAGTTTGATGATTTTGAATTTAGTACTTTGTTTAAAAAAGATCAAATTTTTGTTGTGGGTTTTGTTTAAATTGTTTGTAAAGATTTCAATTTTTACTCTGTTTATCTTTGAGTGTTTTGTTAATATAATTTGCAGTAATTATTTTATTTAAGTGGCGTTTGATATACCTTTGGGAATTAGAGATCTACATTATTATAATGTATTATGGAAGAAAACGAAGTTAAAACGTTTTAAATTTTTATGTGGTGGATTTTATAGTGTTGGAAGGTGTTAGGGAAGAAAACGAAGTTAAAATTTTGTAGATTTTTGTACTGTGGATTTTACAGTATTGAACTGAACTTCAATAAGGTAATTTTCGTTCATCAAGAAAAGCCAATTCTTTATGATAATATGTGAATTTGGGCAATCAATGTTACTTGGAAGAGTCTGATAAAATTTTGTCTGGTTTCTCTGTTTTAGGATCTACATCCATGGTTAACTTCGAAAATGCAGAGAGTTCATTTTTCACACAGATTGATAAACAAGAAAATGGCAATGATGATTACGATGGAAGCTTTCACCAGTCGGAGAAAAAAAGGCGGCTCGCGCCCGATCAGGTTCAGTTTCTTGAGAAAAGTTTCGAGGTGGAAAATAAGCTCGAACCGGAGAGAAAGCTCCAGCTTGCTAAAGAACTTGGATTGCAGCCTAGGCAAGTTGCGATTTGGTTCCAAAACCGTCGAGCCCGGTACAAAACGAAGAACTTGGAGAAAGAATATGATTCTTTGAAACAAAGCTATGATAAACTTAAGGCAGATTATGACAGCCATTTCAAAGAGAATGAGAAACTGAAAAATGAGGTACACTTTGTTGCTTGGTTAAAGAACTCAATTCACCCGTTGGTACTAATTATTTCCTTTACGAATAGGTTCGTTTGCTCAGGGAGAAGTTGCTTTCGATGGACAAAGCAAAGCGAAAACCCGAACCATTGGATAATGCAGAACCAAAGAAGCCAAAGCTTAGCCATGTCTCTCCAATAATACCGGACGCTAGCTCTGTTAAAAGTGATGTTTCTGACTCGGACAGTTTGCATTACACTGATCGACCCAATTCAACATTGCTCGAACCCGCTGATTCTTCGCAGGTTTTGGAGCACGACCCTTCCGACTTTTCTCAAGATGAAGATGACAGTTTAAGCAGAAGCCTTCTGCTGCCATTCCCGAAACTTGAGGCTGAATGTTATGATGATCTGCAACCAAATTCATGCAATCTGGGATTCCCTGTTGAAGCTCAAGGCACATGGTTTTGGCCTTACTGAGTTTCTAATTGCCACAATTATGCCTTTTTGTTTACAAACTTCATCTCATGTTAATGCAGTAATCTCATGTGAATAAGATTAGAATCAATAATTAAGCCTTGTAGTTCCTTCCTCGATGTTCGTTCGCTTACTGGCCTCGCCCTGATGTTTCCTCGAAAAAAAATACGAGTCTCTGCCTTTCTTAGTTGAGCATGATGAATTTGAATGAGCTTTTGCACTTATTTTCATATAAGTAACTTAAAAGTAATTTTGACGCATCTTTGGCACATTCGAACAAACAAGGAGTCTGTCTATGCGTTAAATACGAGATCGGAGGTGCACGCGCACGAGTTCGGGACAACAGATTTGAACTTATTACCGTCTACGGTATTAAACAATCGACCTTGAATTTGACGCTTCGAAAAGGGAAAGCTAATATTCTAAGAAATTAAACAATCTCAAGAAACCCGAAAAATTGACATTTATTGCTTTTAATCAATCTTCTTCATTTTCCATTAATTTTTCAAGCTAAGAACATTAAAAAAAATGCAATTAAAAAAAGAGAGAGGATAACACGGGTTGAATCCCTAACCAATAAAAGACAGAAAAGTGGCCTTCAAAGTCAATATTTTTGAAGAGTTTACTTCAATTTTCTTCCATAGGCAATGACTTTTTTAATCTTAGATGCTGACATTTTTGTCCTCCAAAAATAAAAAATTGCAGGATTGTGAACTGTACCAATTTTTAAAATTGTTTGGGGGAATCAAGATCTGACATGAATATCTTCTTGCTGATGAAATGGATTTACATGAAATTAGAAGTTTCTTAACTTAATGATCTAATTATTTTAATCACATTTAATTTAATTTAATTTTTTTTTTTTATATACATTACCTTCGCAGGTGGCCTTTAAGTGATTAAAGTAGACTACAAGATTAGGAAGTGTTCATCTGAAAATTTTGAGTAGACTATTGTTTATTTTAACTGGATAAGGAAACAACTTAAGTGTCGAAGTATAGCTCGCTTTACGAAATTTAAATGCTAATGCAATATTTAAATTTATGAACTTAAATATCGTATCAGCATTGAAGTTGAATCTTGAAACTCTACTAGTTGAATATCCTTCTTTAAACAAAAACACGTGTATCGATAACAAATTAAACTCTTTCTACTAGATATCATGAGTCGACTATGTGAACCCCTTTTTCAGCACTTTGTTGAGTTTATTACGGGAAATTAGAAATTATAGCAACCATCCCTCCCTCCGCCCCCCCACCCCTCTGTGTATTTTTTGATATGTTCTATCGGGATGTCTTGTAAACGGGGAGCCTCTTTAGATCTAAACAAACTACATCCCAATGATTCCTTTAGTCCTAGGACGCCTTCCTTTCACTCGTTGGCATGCATTTTCATTTGAGTCGTTAGTACGGAACTCAAACAGACTCTTTATGCCTTAATATTTGACAAAGTTTTATGTTAACCTAACACGTGTTTTTTAAAATATTTTTTTATGATTTTATTAGTTGTATCACAAATTTTATCACCCCACAAAATTTTATAACATATCATAGTCCACATAGGTTGACAAGTCACATTTAGGTAGTTCTGATATAAATGTGCAGAAAGTTATGGCAAGAAACTCTTCTACTCCACAGTTCAGCAAAAATGAATTGTTCCTTTTCAAAGTTTAAATGCATGCATATGTAACTTTCAATTTATAGGCCACTAAATTTCATTGGTTCTAACCTTTTTTTTTTTTTTTTGCAAATTATAATTCATTAATTAGTTCTTTGAGAATAATCACAATACATAATTAAGGATAACAAGTACATGATTAGCTTACTTTAGATCAGATTTTATATATCGTTTTCGTTTGAACATGATGGATGAATGTGCGATATTGAATATTTTCATTGTTGATGGAACTGAGTGATCTTGAATTGATTTCAAGATGGAATCCGTTATCATTGATTCAATTACAACTAAAATGCTTTTAGTAAAGATGCACACTTGGATCATAGAGTGGAATGATTTAACGAGTAACGATATTCATTTTATATATGCTAACCACCAATGACTTGACGTAACAATTCATTTGAATTAAATTTACTATTCACCAATGGATTGATAAGCACCGTAATATAAGTATCAGATGAGATTGAGATTAAGAAATGACTTTTGAATATGTTTAGAGAAATTTTTGAAAGTTCTATGTCGTGTAAAGATAACTTTTAAAGGTTTATGATAATTTTCTCAAAAAAAAATTTCCACGGGAAGCAAAAAACTAACCAATGAACTCTTAACCGTGTTGAATTCGCTAGCTTCAACGTATTTGAAAGGAACGATTAGGACATACATTTTTTTGTTGTTCTTTAGTACTACATCGCTCCTTTTTGGGCTTCATTAAAATGTATTTTTTGGAAAAATATATTCCAAAAATACATTTTGGAATATTGATTATTTGAAGAATATGTGAATAAAAAAAAAGGAAAATTTTGAATTTTCATATAATATTATCTTATTAAAAAATACGTTGTTAAAAAGAAGAAAGGAAAATATATTTTGAATAAAATGGAGCCAGCGACAATATCCTTTGACCAAACACATATTTCAAGAGTACATAATTTATAAAACATATATACTTTATATAATTAGCACAATTTGTTTCAGTTTTTTATTTAAAAATTTTTATTTTTATTTTCATTTTTTTTTATTTATCACGTTTATACCACGCGAAATTAGTACTAGTAATCATCACTATGAATAACGTTGTTGATAAAGTTATATTGTAAAGAAACGATTTCACCACGTTGTAACTTGCACATGGTGGCTTCATATCCACCGTCCACGTTACCCTAAAGAGAAGTCTTCGTCAAAACATGCCATGAAACCCGAAGGCAGCCTACACCACGGAACCTCTGTAACCCATGGGCCCACATCTGGTCAATTGACAGTGACCGGCCCAGAGACGTGTAGATTGGCCAAGGAGTGATGGGCCCACTTTCCATGGGGATTCTGATAAGAATGTAGCTGGGGAAACGTCTTTTACTCATTACTTGGCCCAACGATTTTTGGACTCAGACATAGTATATCATGTTATTTTCAAAATACATTTCTTTCTCTTCTTCTCAATTACATTTTTTAATAAAATAATATTATATATAAATTAAATGTCTTATTTTTTAACCTTACATTATCCATCAATAGATTATTTCGAAATGCATTTGTGGCAAAAAAATGGAGCTCAAAGTGGTTCCCACTCTTTTTGATTGTGATTGTCATTGTGATTGGGCCTTTGTCTGCCACTTGACACAACGATGGGATTAAATCTATCAGTGACTACTCAACTTTATATTTAGCATCCGTTTGAGTCATATTAAAATTTTCATTCTTAATTTTTTACTCATTTTCAACTACACATTCTTCAATAAAATAATATTTTTCATCACATCAATAGATTTTCCTTATTTTTCAACCACACATTTTCCATAAATCTATTATTTCAAAATCCATTTTTCCAAAATAATGTGACTCAAACACACCTTTAGTGTCACTATAATCATCCAATTTGATTTTATTTCATCATGACACTCAATCTCATATAAGTTTTATCATGACTATCCAATTTCTTTTCACTATTTTTATTAATTTTAAAATGGATAAAATTGTAACTTTACATTCTAAAAATGTTTTTTAAATAGGTTTTTATTTTATTTTATTTTATTTTTCTAAGTAACATCTTTTAAAAGTAAGTTTTATTTTATTTTAAAAACGATTTATAAAATAAGTTTTTATTTTATATATTTTTTAAGTAAACTTTTTTAAAACATAAATTTTATTTTATTTTTTTAAGTAACGTCTTTTAAAGTTTTTATTTTCTTTTTTTAAATAAGTTTTTATTTTATTTTGTTTTAAATTTATTATATATATATATATAATACAAAGTTATTGTTTTATCTCTTTTAAAATTAGTGAAAATTGTGAGATGAAGTTGGGTGGACATGATAAAACATTATATGAAATTTGGTGGCCATGATGAACTGCTATATAAAATTGGGTGACCATAATGAAATAAAATTAAATTGGGTAACCTGGTGATACTAAGTATAAAGTTGAGTGGACATAATGAAACAAAATCAAATTATGTGATCATAGTGATACTAAATATAAAGCCAGATGATCATTGATGGATTTAACCCATTTCTTTTACTTTTTTCATTTTTTAATTTAATGACAACAATGTAGGTCGGGTCGTAGGTGGCATTAGAACATCGAAATAGATTGGTTGACTTTGGATTGGGTGTAAAGTGATCGGGGCAAACTAAGGTCGGACTCTCGACCTCTGAATCTTCAATTTCCAAAAGTAGTTTTTGGTTCATAAATTTACGTAAATTTGTTAATTTAAACTTTCATATTTTGTATGATTTCCAATTTAGTGGGATTTAAATCATATGTTAAGTTATTTGAAAAATGAATTTTTGATAAAATAGATATTAAAATTAGATTTTTAGTAAATTTTGATAAAAGTTGATTGAATGTGTGATTGAAAAGTTGTGGGATCAATGAATATGTGATCAATATTTATTTTTTGACTTTAAAACTTAAATTAAATTTGATTTTAATCAATACTAAACATGGTTTAATAATCTTCACTTGACGACGATGTCACAAGTGTAGGGTCAGCCACCTGGAATATATGTATAGTTCAAGTGCGGACATGCTTTGATGTCGCGCGAACATATAAACGGTACTCACCATTAATTCTTAGGCTATGTTTGTTTTCCATTTTCCATGAAAATTGTTGTTTGATAAGTTTTATTCGCTATGGAAAATTAATTCCACCTAGTGATGGCAATCGAGCCGAGCGGCTCGTCGGCTCGGTCGC